TTTTCAGGGACCATTCATACTGATAACGACCTGATTATTTGATGACTTGCGCAAAAACACATAATCTTTTGTTTTTTGCAGTAGTCTTTGGGCCCCTAAAATTTCGGCCTTCATAATTCTCGAGATAACAACTTTGTCCGTCAAAACTTTCACGGGACAGTATGTGATACCGGGGAGCAGTGGAAGGCTGAAATTAAATTTGCAGGGTCACACGTGGGCGAGGAACACCCGCCCCCTCCTCCCCCCAAAATTTCAGCTCCCTAGCTTTTGTGGTTCCCGAGTTGAAAGTTGCGGACAAGATGCACCAGACACACACATACATACACGCAAGTACACACACAGATACCAGACACACACAGACAACCTCGTAAGTTACGTTTTGTGCAGCTATTGCACAGCACAAAACGCATAAAATTGGATAACAGCTAATTTTTGATATTTTTTATGTACTGACCAATAAGTTATATTAAACTTTAACCCATCGATAATCAAGCCTAAATCAAAATCTTTACTGCCGTTACATTCCGCAAATTAAAAAAGCACTCAAAAGTAGCCTAAGAAGTAGCATTCTTTAGCAGCATCCGCTTGCGGATGTTCTTTTGTTTCGAGCGTTGCTTAGAAGGTGATGACAAGTTCTTATTCCTCGTATACCAAACCACTTTGTTACTGAAACGAATGAACGAATCTTGGAAGGACTGGTTGTCCCATTTTGCGGAACTGAATCCTTAATCATCAATTCGGGGGCAACTTTGTTGCTTCCTTTCTAGTAAAAAAAATTAGTAAAAATAATGATGTGATTAATTCAAAAACCTAGTCGAAAGCGTACCGGCGCCGGTACATGGATGCGTTTTTTGCACAGTTCTCCCCGCAGGTTTTTTTTCGCCAGTGGCGCGTTCTTCCTGGCAGATGCTTCTAGCTAAAAGAATTGTGACTGGCCACCACGACTGTTAGAAATTAATGACTCCCAATCCATGCCCAAAAAATTCAGCTCTCTGGATGCTTCGGTTGCGGAGTTACGCCAAATTCCACGTGTTCGTAAGTGAGTTGCAACGTGAGTGCTTTCTTCGATTGGGGCTACTTAAAGACGACCCTAGGCAGTGCTCAAAAGATTTCAGTACTCAAGCTGCTCTGGTTGCAGAATTACGTCAAATTTCACGTGTTCGTATGTGAATGGCAACGTGAGTGCTTTCTTCGCTCGCGGTTGGTCAAACACGGTCCTGGGTAGCGCTCAGAAAGT